AAACAAAACAAGAAAAAACTAATTAAGACATGCGTGTCCATCAACCTTAAACAATAATCTTTATCAATTTTATTTTTCAGTCTTTATGATGGTTGATACTTGATCTATCTGTTACATCCCCGGGCAACGCCGGGCTCTACTGCTAGTATTCAATAAAATGGATAAACCCACCATTTATGCCAGATATATTGATCACATTTCATCCAAACCAAATCCATCAATGAAATTATAAAAACATTTTTAAAAAGTTTTTGAAAAAAATTCCATTTTAAAGTTATGAAGTAAATATCAATAAAAAAAAATCCCATTTCTAGATATTGATTATAATAGCAATTATTTTAAATCTCCATATAAAAAGTCTACTAGTTCCAATTTTTGCCTTATAAAATAGAACAGTGAATGCCCTGAAAAATATCAAACTGCTCTCATTAATAACCCAATCCAAAGAGCTAAACTCATTTCTTCATCTAAAATAATTTCCTTTAAAGAATTAGATAATATAAAACATTTAACAAAAACACTAATTATATAGTTGACAAATCAAATTTCCTTTAAACAACAATTTTTTAAATAATAAAAACAGTCCCAAAGCATGATATTGACAATAATGCTATTAACATATATTACTAAAATCAAATGCACTACAATTGCAAAAAATGAAACAGCAATAAAAAAAAAACATGATACACAATGTATAAAAATAAATACATCAGATTTATTATTTATTACAAAAAATTAAAAATTAGTAACTTAGTTATTAAAAATAACAGCCCAAACTTCCAAACCCTGATATAAGACCAATGTTATGTATGAATATCCTTGCCCACTCAGAGAATGATTCTCTGTAAATAAAAAATACAAAATGTTTTATATAGGATATACCACAACCACACTCTCAGGGAGACTCACCTGCCACATGGTGGACCAGAATGCTATCAGATAGCACATTAATAAGCAGCAGAAGGATCAGAGTAACATTAGACACAGCTACTCACAACCAATACCAAAATACTAGTAAAATCCAATAATAAAAACAGGCTTATGATCCTAGAAAGCAATACAACAAAAATGACCAGCCATAAATAAAAAAAATTATAATTTAAGAGCCCACATTCTCAAATGTATATAAAAAAAAAAACAGACATACACAAGTCACACCTTGTGTATCTCCCAAAACTCACAAGATATTACATAACTCAACATTTGTCTCTACCTATGATGACTTGCTGCCTAAATACAAAATATACACACACACACACACACACACACACACACACACACATATATATATATATATATATATATATAGTTGAATGGAACTAAATATGTTAGTTCTATCATATTGAGTGCTTTCCAATAAGCACTGCACATATATAAAATATATATAGAATTTAGATATATCTGTGTGTTAAAAAAATTAGGAAGATCAACCACTAAGGCTACTATGGTTTCAAATGTTGTGGTTCTGTCAAGGCAGTAGAGGCTACTTAATTTCCTAATGATTTATTTATTTATGTATGCACAACAGGAAGGGCTACAAAAAGGGAGGAGTAAATCCAGAGTGGGAAAATTGAATGTGAGGATGGGTAAAAAAAAATATTCATACTTTCATCTGGGTTCACGAAAATATATTTTGTAGTGTTATGGAAAAAATCATAAAAGCCCTAATGTCAGCTGGAGCATATTGAGAAGAATTACAGTGATGGTAGTGATGTCTGTTGGTTGTGACAAGTAGAAAAATTAACAATAATAATATATTCAGACCCCAAAAAAGCTATTAAATGAGAGGTCTGAAGTCATGTCAGGATGTAAACACATTAAAAAGTATATTTTGGGTTTGTACAAACCTGGATGAAAGTATGTATTTTTCTTTTTTTTTACTCTTCCTCCTATCCTATTTACTCACTCTTGCCTTACCCCTCCCTGTCTGTTGCCCTTGGTCTTATACTTGATTAAATAAACAAATAAAGCATTAGGAAATTAATTAGCCTCTACCACCTGATGAAACCTCAATAGTTGAAACCATAGTAGCATGAGTGGTTGATCTTCCTATTTTTTAACATTTACAAGCTCTGCACATATGATTTTCTTTTTGTGTGTGTGTGTGTGTGTATGTGTGTGTGTGTGTGTATCGAGCACTTTTTAATGCAACTTAATGCAATTTAATTCTGACCAGCAACTTTTTAACCATTTTTTTATATATATATATATATATATACACACACACACACATAGGATGTATCAAAAATACTTTTACAAACTCTGAGTGCTGGTACCTCAAAGTAAAATGTCTGTATGAAGATGTCAAAAAGGACATGGTTGTACCTCAACACGGCAACTCATAGCAAATGTTCAAAATGTCCTCCACTTGCTTCTGCACATGCATAAACCCATTGGATCCTTGACTAGCGGACACTTTCAAATACCTCCACACAGTGTTAAATGGTTTCTCACAGGCCTCCACAACATATTGATGAAGTGTTTCTGCATTATTAATGTCTGCTGCATAAAGTAATTGTTTTAGGTGGCCTCGGAGATAAAAAAAAATCCAAAGGATTGACATCAGGAGAACATGCAGGCTATGGAACTGGTCCTCTCCTACCTATCCATCATTTATAGTAGATGTCAACCAGTGCATTGCAAACAATGTGACTAAAATGTGATGGAGCCCTATCATAAATGAACAACATGCATCTTTGTATTAGCAGGGGTACATCCTCTGGTAGGTCTGGAAGTGTGTTCAAAATAAAGTCCCTGTAGACAACTCAGGTAAGATGTGCTGGGAGAACATATGGACCTACCAGACAGTCACCTACAATTCCAGCTTACACATTAATCATAAACTGATGCTGGTGTCTAGCCTGTATTGTACCATGGGGATTCCGATCCACCACAAATGTTGGTTGTGTCAATTTGTTATTCCATCTTTTCCAAATGTTGCTTAACCTGTAAACAAGACTGAAGAGACAAACAAATCAGTAATTTGTGCAATAAACTATTGGCAAAAGTTCTCCTATGATGAGTGATCAGTTATGCAGCTTACATCCATTACCATTTGGTCATCCATATGTAAAAATCATATCTGCCTGCTCGTGATATGAACATCCTGCCATTGTCAAACAGAACACTTCTCAGTTAACTCACTACTACACACATTAGACATTGACGACAGACTAACCACAAATGTACACAAATGACAAATGTAACCTAGTCTACAGCACAGCACCATCTACCATAAACCTTCTTTAAACTTAATAACTGAAATACAAAGCATTTGTGAACATATGTTTATATGAACTTTTGTCCTTGTTTTGGTGTGAGGAAGCTGCCCCACAAAGTTTATAAAAGTATTTTTGATACACCCTGTATATATAAGCATCCTCTATCAAGATAAACCTTTCCAAATAGAAACTATGATCTGAAATTGGTATGAAAGCAATGAGAGCACCTACCTCAAATCCATCATAAAAATCTCTGGATGTGGAATTAATAAATACTTAACACTTAAAATATCTTGGCATATTGTTATATAGGAATAAAAGTGTTGCTGCTGACACTTAAGTTTGAATATAGATTGCCAATAAGCAAACACAGGCAATCCCATTATTGAATTAAGTAGACCACATGACCATAGAGGAAATGCATATATGGGAGGTAGTGTGACGTCAAATTGATCGCCATTTCTAGCCTATCCTCTATTACTATACGGACCACTATCCTTCACTATACCATTTCTCTGTTCGAATCACCATTTGGCGAGTATTATCAAGTAAGTACTATTAGTGCAAAGTTATTCAAAGGCATCTTACAGCAGTATTGTTCAACTGTGTACTATAGTTTTATCTGTGATTACAAAGTCTCGACTAGAAAGAGCATTAGTTGACATTACAAAGTGTCAATGAATATTCATTGACATCACAAAACATATGGATCCCCTATAACAAATTAAATATAGGAGAAAAAAAATTGAACATAGAATAGGCTGTGCAAGTCAGTTGTAGTTTCGCCCGACATGCAAATTACTTTGACAACCAAATCTCAACCTGAAAATTTGAGTCAGGTTCTTAAGTAGCCTCATCAGATTGAGACTTTCATGTGGATGTCATGCATGGCACCAAACACATTCAGAAATATCTAAACATTCAGCTATATACATCCGCTTCCTAGGGATCAATAGTGAAAAAAAATCTTTGAGTAAAGGCTGAAGGTCTTGGCAAAGATCATCCTTCTTTAAACATTGTGAACTGGTGCTACAGAATCACAAACAAAGAACTGTACCAAATAACAGAAACCACATTACTTGAGGACTACTAACAATAACAAAAGCTAAAATGGAGAGTACATGTATCTCAAAGAGAAAATAATGGCATAATCAAAATGTTAATATTCCACACCACTTTAAATAAAAGGTTAGGAAGGAAACTTGAATCAATACAGGAAAGAACGATAATAACTTCTGAACTTGAGAAACCTGTTTTCCTAAAAAAATTATTTCAAGTGAAGGATTTTATAAATTTCAACTGAAAACAGTACTGGTTGCTTGGTCAATGAATGTTAAAATGTTCCCTTGTAGGAAAGCACCTAATATTGCTCTCTCTCTCTCTCTCTCTCTATATATATATATATATATATATATATTAAGAAATGGACAAAGTCCGACAATTTATTTATTAAAGACATTTTTATGTTTAACATTCTTTTTTATAGATACAAGTATTTAAGTAAATGCTCTGTTTATAATAAACAGTATTAAATAACATTTCTCGGACATTCAGGCTGGTAAATGTTATTTAATACTGTTTATTATAAACAGAGCATTTACTTAAATACTTGTATCTATAAAAAAGAACGTTAAACATAAAAATGTCTTTAATATATATGTATATATATATATATATAGCTACTTAAATGTCATTGCTTTCCACAGTTAAAAGTTTCATGTTTATGTAAAGGTAATAATGTTACTGTCACAAAATCATCAGAGCTTATGGCTATATTCTGTTAAACACCAGTTCCCATACAATCACTGAAGTTAAGCAACATTGAGCATGGTTAATACCTAGATGAGTGACTGCTTAGGAATACCAGGTGCTGTAGGCTTAGATGTGCAGGTGATATAATGGCTTGGAATTGTCAATCAAAGAGCCAGTTTCCAATTCCAGTTGGGTTCTCTCCCCACTTGTATCACTAACTCATTACCTCTGAAAAACAAAACAAAAACATTCTTACAATCTAAAAATATTTTCAGTCTTTAAATAACCTGCAAAGGGTTGATAAACCTTAAAAAAAATGAATGCATCAATCAACAAAAACAATCCTCAGGTGGTGAAAATGATATTATACTCATAAATATATGAGTATATATAGCTTGCCACTCATATTGAGGATACCCGTCTACTAGAATGGCTAGCCAATCCCTATTGCAGACGCTTGCTCAGGCACATTTCAACACCCACAGATCCCACTTGTAGTTTATGCTGCAAACATGCTGAGCAGACCTTAGGTACAGTTTCTGGGAAAGAGCGTGTTATCTAGTGTGATCAACAATTTGAACAAGGCCAGCACACTCAAGCCCTTGGCCACGATGACTTGTGGCCTGGTGGTTAGAATGAGCATGTGGCTGAGTGGTTAAAACGTTTGCATTCTGGCTATGAGATCCAGGTTTGAATCTCACTATGGTCGATTTGTCAGGAAAAAGACTTCCTGATGCTATCAGACTGGAGGGGGTAGATTCCAGCATGCGGCAACTGTGGAAAGTGCCTGAAAACCATACCATGAGTTATCCCAAGCCCTGTGAGTGAAATTGGGTAGACAGAACCCTTGGGTGTCATCAATAGCTGCGCTAGCACAAAATATATGAGTATTATATTACATTTTACTGCCTGAGGATTGTATGACTAGGGTGTTGTTTTTTTTCTAATGACAAAATTGTTGTGCTGATCTTAAAGTTAAATTTTAACTTAAAAAAAAAAAAAAAACTCTGATGGTGGCATTGTGCTAATGTCAAAAGTATTCAAAATAAATAAATATGTACCAACATAATAAGGATACTAAGAAGCTTGTCTGTGATTATGAGAGGAACCTATTGAAAATAAGTAGACAAAATTTGTCTAAATTATTCAATGAGACATGTCTATATATATATATATATACACACACACACATAATTATTAATTAATGAATATCAAACACTTAAAATTCCATAGGTAATAATTTTTATTTCATGAGGCTACAATAATTAGCCTCATTCATCGGACCTCTAGACCAAAAATAAAATAAAAACAGAAAATCTATTCCAGGTTCTAAAGAGATAACAAAACAGAACCTGGAATAGATTTTCTGTTTTTATTTTTGGTCTAGTGGTCCGATGAATGAGGCTAACTGTTGTCGCCTCATGAAATAAAACTTATTGCCTATGGAATTTTAAGTGTTTGATATTCATTAATTAATAATAATTTTGCTCTGTCTCTGACATAGAGCTCTCTTTGGATCTATATCCTATCAGAAATTCCACACAGATTACCAGTTTATTATTATTATTAATTATATATATATATATATATATATATATATATATATATATAGATATGGCTCAAGCACTAATATTCCATGATTATAATTTATTACATTGGAATCATAATCACAATCCAATTCAACAAACCTACAAATTCAAAAAGAAATTGGAAAATCTAACTCTGGTTATATATATAAACAAGTTGATAGAAAACTGAATGAAGCTGGCTCTGTTTTTGTATCTGAATACATCGGACCCCGAAAATATAGAAATATAAGTGTCCCTGTATCTTCAATGTTTGTAAACCAACAATATATATATATATATATATATATATATATATATATATATATATAAATAATATTAGTGGTAAATATACACATACATATGCAAAATATATAAAAATATATATACATAGGTGCATACACATACATGTATATTTTTTGAATAAAAAATTCCAAGAGGATAGAATCCAGGTAGAACTCAATGTCCAGGACAGAGTAAGGATATAATAAAATGGCTTAAACACTAATATTCCATGGTCATAATTTATTCCATTGTGTATGTATATACGTGTATATGTTATTGTGTATGTGTGTATTCGCATATGTTTTTGAACATAAAAATATAGGTCTTTGCTAGATTAGATAATCGTTATATTTATTTTTTATATGTTTATATTTGATTTGTAAGCTGTAGTCGATATTAATTTTGTCAAATTTTCTTAATTACACAGCAGCCCTTTCAGTAAATGCCCTTCAGTTTTAGTTTCCCCCACCCCATCTCTCTCCCCCACCTCTTCTTTCCTTTTCTCGTCCTCCCTCTTATTCTGATCTTTAACATTAGATCATCTATGGTGTGTGCATGTCACCACAAAATGTATCTTTAATGTATTAGACATTCGACAGCATTCATATTTCCCCCTTCCACTCACCTCTCCTAAACTTCTCTCTGTTAAGGTTTAATCTCCCACCTTCTCTCGTCTGTTACCCCTCTCTTTAGCTCTAACATTCGTCCCACACTTTCATACTTACACACTCTCTAAATTCTATTTTTATTTCCGGAGTTGTTTTTTTTCTGTTTTCTTTTTGCATTTGTAGGTCTGATGAATTGGATCGTATTTACAATTCCAATGGAATAAATTATTACCATGGAATTTTAGTGTTTAAGCCTTTTTATTATATATATATATATATTCAGATGCATAACATAGCCAGCTTTATTCAGTTTTCTATCAAATTGTTTTTATTGTTGTCACTATTGTTTTTAAATATCCCATATTGTAATTTGTAATACCAATAGTTTTATTAAAAAATGAGATATTAATGTATGATCTTGGTTGCAAATTTGCTATGGAAGATTGCAAAATTAATGCACTCTAAATCCATTTTCGTTTTAATAAATTACTTTCTTGCTTAATTAAAGCTGCATTCTTTAGCTGATAACAGAATCAAGCAGGATTGGTTGGATTCATGACTTTAGTGGAAATTGATTGGTGTGCCCAACCAGATCTGCTTTGATTTCTAGCCATGTTATCAACTGAACAATTTTCTGCCTTCCTCTTGTACCAAACATGCAGATTCATTTTGATGCCTTTTCTATTTAATATCACAAGTTTCTGTTTGCTTTTCATTCTCCTTCCGTTCTTTTGTATTTTTCTTTGCTTATGTCTCTACTCCAAAAGTGTACTTATCTACAAATGGTTTATTTTTACTTATAGTGCTTTTTTTTTTCTTTACACCAGCTCTATTTTATTTTATTATTTTTATAGCTTCTTTTTTTTTTTCTCCCCCCCCCTTCTTGTAGTTTATTTATTCATTTTTGCTTCCTGATATATATTTTTTGTTTGGTTTGGTGCCAAACTCAGAACACCAGAGAATTGATTATGCGTGTTTGTGTGCATCATTGTCTTTCACTGATATTGTCAGTATGTAATTGTCTAGCATTGCATAATCACTAGCATATACATCTATATATATTTTTTATCTCTCTCTCTATATATATATATATATACACACACACACACACACATTTATGTAAATTTGTGTATGTACAGTTTTGTGTATTAATATACAGTTACAATTGCTTGTATATTTACATGTAAATAGAAATGTCTTTGTGTCTATGGTTGTACCAAGAACTTTTCACCATCCCCTCATATATACATTCACACGTGTGTATATGTTCAAATCAACAATGCATAAATATATCGGTAAAGCAATGTCAGATATATTTATTTCACACACATGTTTATTTTTCAATATAGTCTTGTCAATACACTTTATTCAGTGATTAAAAAAATAATCATACAGATCAAATGTTTTCCACTTAAATATCAAAATTCAAAAATGTCAGTTTGTGGACTTATTGATGCTGCAAACATAACACACACACACACACACACTCAGGATGATTGAAAAGTAACTCCCTGTTTTATGTATGAGTAGCCAGCCAGGAGTCTTGACTTAACACCCTGTGACTTTTCTTTGGGGTTGATTAAAGGAGAAAGTCTACTAGACCAAACCAAGACTTTGCAAGAACTTGAAGGGCAATTACAAGAATTCCTGGTAAAATTAGTTGATGGGATTCCTGGGTGGCTCAAGAGACTTGTGGTGAAATCTCATGACCATATTGAATTTTAAATAAAGCTTCATTCTAAACGCTTTCCTCATATATCCATTTCTTATAGAAATTATAGTTAATAAATAAATTATAAGTATTTTAAAATGGGGCGTTACTTTTCAATCACCCTGTGTGTGTGTGTGTGTGTGTGTGTGTGTGTGTGTGTGTGTATAAAATATTGAAAAAATACTTGCTTTTAAGTATTTGGATGAATAGACATTTTCCTTGTAATCACTTAAGCACAGTGGAGTAAATGAATAGTGGCTCAGATTGAGGAATCAAAGAGCTGAGATTCGCATTATATACATGATATATAAACGCCATACTAGCCAGGATAGCCTTCATTTTTTACGAAGATCAATGCATTAAAGCAGCAGCTGTTAAAAATTCACCTTTCCCATAGTGTTCAATTGGTGAACATGAGCATGTATATATATATATATATATATATATATATATATATATATATATATATATTTATTTAAAGACATTTTTTATGTTTAACGTTCTTTTTATAGATACAAGTATTTAAGTAAATGCTCTGTTTATAATAAACAGTATTAAATAACATTTACCGGCCTGAATGTCCGAGAAATTTTCATAGAAAATATTTGTCCTTTGACAGGATTCGAACCTGCATCCTATACGGAATCGTCATTTACGCTGACGTGCCTTACCGACAATTTATTTATTAAAGACATTTTTTTTTTTAATAAATAAATTGTCGGACTTTGTCTATTTCTTAATATATGACGCCATTTGTTTACATTTGATACGCCAGAGCAATTATGAATGTACGAGATTCATGGAAGATTGAAGTCTATAAGCAGTAAATTTGACCTTGTCTACCGAACGCTCCTTTGTGGCCGATCGGTAAGGCACGTCAGCGTAAATGACGGTTCCGTATAGGATGCAGGTTTGAATCCTGTCAAAGAACGAATATTTTCTATGAAAATTTCTCG